GCTTGCTCCAGCTCCTAAACTAACAGTCAGTCATCTGGAAAACCTTTCAGTTCACATGTCTCTGCTTCCATTCTAGTCCTCTGATGTTCTTTTGAGTAATAGCTTCCACTGTTAGTTGCTAATACATAAAGATTATTTAATTGCTCATATTTTGTATAAAGTATGTTTAACTCACCTAATTTACCAGGATTGTGATATCAATTGTTTACACTTATGACTACAGAGAGTGATTGATGACTGATGTTATTCTGTGAAACTGCTCTCAAATGTTACTTTACTTCATATTGGAGGAAGCTTAGGCAAAATCTGGGCAATCTCGTTCTCTTATTCTACTAAATGGAAACGAGCTAAAGTGAAGAAGGCAGTATGTTAACATACCACACTTTTAAAGTTATTGCTGTGATATGCCAGAGCTTTTTTCCCCTCTCTTCTAAAAGTTGTTTTACATTACAAGAGCATCTCTTTCTTTCACAGAGACTATTTTAGCTCAGATGACTTGCTTTATCTCTTGATCACAATTTTTTAAGCTGCCTACTGCCTCAGAGCTTATGATTCTAGTTATTTTAGTTCTAGATAAGTTCATACTTCTTAGATTTTAAATCCACAAACTAATTTCTCATGGATATCATTTCATACGTATATAAGTGTTCTTGAATTAGTTTTATTAATTTGGAACAGCTGGTGTACTTTATACTAGCTGTAATGCATTGACAGTACTATTTTGATGAATTCATTAGGCTTGAAACAGAAGTGTGATGTGACAAGCTTTTCAGGAAAACAAAGCCTGTAAAATGGTATTAGAATTTATACAAGTTTTTAGCTCTATTTTCAAGTATCTGCTATATGGTAATTTGTTTATCAACATCTCTTCGTGTGTTAAACATCAGTTCTGTTGGTTTTGGTTTTGCTTTTTTTCCCCCCCAGAAATCCAGATTATAGAATAGTTATTCTTTCTGTATGAATCATGTTTAATAAGTGAGTGTTGCATTATATTGTCTGTAAAAGGGCTTGACAACTTTACAAAGTATAAACATGTAAAATTAGGTGAAGTAAAACCCTCTTCATGAGTTTCTATTTGGGTGCCTAACCCCCATTTAATTTTACCAAGATAGTTAAATAATACAAAGGAGGTGTTGAAGTCTATGTTTAAAAAGAAGGAAGCTGAAACAAGTTTGTGAAGTCCTTTCTAAAAGTAATTGAAAGAAACAGGATATTTAAACAGTATTTGTTAGAGGATAATTGAGAATAATCCAAATAGATAATAGCAAACCTGGGCAAAAGACTGGAAAAACTGATACAGAATTTTAGTGGGAAAACCTAGACCCCAGTAATAGAGCTAGAGCTTAGTTAATCCATTGTTTTAATTCTTTATAGAGAGTACACTGTCTTGCATGGCAAACTTGCTCCCATTAGTGATGGAGATTACAAGTTTATTTTATAATGTGTGTCAGTTTGACTGCTGAAAATTTTTCAGTGAAGATGGAATATTTATATAGCAGATTTAGGTAAACAGACAATAGACTTTGCTCTTCTTTGTTTTTTGTGGACTCCTTGGAAGTACTGATGGAACCATGGATATGGCTGAAAACTGTGGGTACAATAGGCTTCTTATGGCATTTAATTTAGTAGCATCTCATAAAATTTTTCCTGGATAATGTCAGTAGGTGTTCAAGTAGCTAAGAACTGCCTAAATGTAGGCACAAGGGAATCATGATGGAGATACTGTTTATGATTTTTTGGCAGGAAATCAGTAGTAATTTTCCTACCAGCCAGTGTTTTCCCTAAGGATGTGAAAATAAATATAAAAATCACTGGTAGCATCGTTAGCTAATCTCATCAGTGTTTTCAGACTGTTCAGTAATAATAGAGACATTAATATGGAATATTGAAGGATGAAAATGATTTCAAACGTGGTGACTTCAAAGTTATATGTCTGAGA